TTGAAGTTGAATAAACCTTCACTAATTTTAACATAATTAAAAAAAAAAAGTCGTGTTTATAAGTAAATAGAAACGAGTAATGAATAATTGTGTTTAAGCCAAACTTTATTGATAGAGTTCGGTTTTAAAATATACATTAATAGATGTCACAACTCATGTATCTAAAAACTCACAATTCAATGATTAAATGTAAACATGGTGCACGTGCGAAGAACATGGATCGTTTTAGGCCATTTCCAATCCTATATCAAATTTTGCATCAAATTAGAATTCATCTCCAACTATTACACCAAATGAACAGTGTTTTATTATTTTATTCTTTCTTTCGATTTTTGACAATGTATCTATTTATTTATTTATTTATTTTAGAACTATATAAGTTACTAAATCGTAACTATGTTAAATTAACAAATATATTGAATTATTATTGATTACTACATTATTAACATGTTTTATATATTATGTTAAATTGACGAAAATAATTGAGTATATTATTAATTTATTATAAACAATTACGTTAAATTTACGAAAATAATTACTAAATTAAAAATTTTTAATTATTATTGATTATAATATTAAAAATAATATAATTAATAATGTAATTAATTATTATTATTATCATTATAGAGCGAAAATGACACAAATACCTCTAACTATTTTTATTTTTTTTTGAAAAATGAAATAGAAGGTCAAAACAGACTTTGCACAATTTGGTGCCAAAATTGGTGCAATGAACAGTGTCACACCATATATGGTGCAACATGAACGATGTTGCACCATTGTTGCAATGGTTGGAGCGACGTTTGCACCAAATTTTGGTGAAATTTGGATTTGGTGCAAAAGGGTGTCCATTGGAGATGTCAATGTATTTATTTATAAATTTATTTATTTATTTTATAACTATATAAGTTATTAAATTATAACTACGTTAAATTAACAAATATATTGAATTATTATTGACTACTAAGTTATTCACATGTTTTATATATTATGTTAAATTGACGAAAATAATTTATTATATTATTAATTTATTATAAACAATTACGTTAAATTGACGAAAATAATTACTAAATTAAAAAATCCTTAATTATTATTGATTATAATATTAAAAATAATAAAATTTAATAATGTAATTAACTATTATTATTATTATTATTATAGAACGAAAATGATACAAATACTCTTGACCATTATTTTTGAAAAATGAAAGAGAATGTTAAAACAGACATCGCTCCATTTGGTATAAAAGATGGTGCAATGAACAGTGTCACACCCAATATGGTGCAACATGAATAGTGTTGCACCATTGGATAATCGAATCGGAACAATTAAAGTTTGTTGAACAGCGCGAATCTTGAAACTTTAAACTTACACAATTGTTTGTAGAATCACATATGAGAATATCAAACCACAACCATTTACGCAATAGCGTAAGTTAGATGATCGAATCGGAACAATTAAAGTTAGTTGAACAACGCGAATCTTGAAACCTTAAACTTACGCAATTGATTCTAGAATCACATATGGGAATATCAAACCGCAACCATTTAGTTTGGAATAACCAATGGATGTCTACCTTAATCATATTAAGAATAAACTTAACCTTGATTTAATTAACTTCTCCTTTTTCTGTTGCATATAAATAGCCCCAACATCAAAGTTCATCCTTAAAATGGTTGTTAAGGTTAGTCTTTTACATTCTTTCTTGAATAAGAGTTTCTATTGTTATATTAAAGAGCATGGTTATAGTCGATCCATTCAACACGAGTGAACCGGGACCAAAGAAGTATGTGTACATAATCAAACAGGAGAGGAATGGAAAGGAATGACTGACGAAAGTGTTGGATTTGTGGAAGAGAAACATCTCCGAGAAGCTAGTCCTTAAAGAGTTCAAAAAAGAGTTTAGCTGTAATGGTAAAGTGGCATGGGACAAAACGTATGGGTGGGTGGTTCAAATAGAGGGCGACCATCGGAATAATATGTATAACTTCTTAGGCAAATCTGGCATTCTCAGCAGGGATAACGTTATAGTAGTTTAAGGTTTTTAAGGATTGATTGGAGGAAATTATGTAGGTAATAATTTACATTAGCTGAAGATATGAAGAAGCCTACTTAAAATAAAGAGACGTTGATAAAATATGTAAGTTATGTTATCTAGTCGAAGCCTAGCTATTAATATGAATAATGTTGTTTGTAAAATGTACTAGGTAATGGTGTTTTAAAGAAGCCTATCCTATTATGTTTGTTTTGGTTGTTCAGATTTTATTTTCAACCCTATGATTAAGTGTGGACAAATTTATCCGTCTAATCGATTCATACTGTCAAATTTACTTGACTCCAGTTGATTTGGATCAGTTTGGAGGGATACTGGTTCATTTTTCGTGTTGGTCAAAATTTCGGTTCGAGGGGTCGAGTTTAGAAAAAAAATTAATTTCAAGGGAAAATCCCCCTCAATTCGACAAATTAAACTGACTTGAACCAGTTTTAGTCAATTTATCCCCTCTATTCAGTTTAATTTCAAATTGGGATTTTACCCTACTCGATCGAGTTGGGTCTAAACCTGATCTAGTCCTATCCATGTCCACCCCTATGATTCGTCCATGGAGAAGCTAGTGAACTATTATGATCCTTTAGTATTTAAACTAAGCTAAAATACCCCAAAAAAAAAAAGGTGGTTGTTTGAGGTGGTCATATTATGCTCCTTGAGTGTTTTCAGCATACTAAGAACGATTGTGGGAAAAAAATCGTTCTTAGAATTAGTTTTAACCAAGACTTTACACAACAACTCTCTCATTGTTTTTCAATTTATAAGAAATCGAGCACTAAATTTAAAAATGCATTTTTAGTTGCATGGGGTTGGATTTGGGAAGAAGATTACTCTTTTCTTTTTCTTTTTTCTTTTTTTATGTCAGTTTTATTTAAAGTTAAATGTATCTAAAAAGTGTGTTGACATGTTTACCCTTGTCAAAAATTCCACGTGCACCTCACATGCCATATGTAAGGGACTAACGGACGAAATCCGTGAGTAGAAACGAGCTGCGTAAATTAATGAAAGATTGACGTTAAAATTCTTATGAGAAAATGGTTGAGGGAAATACTGGACATGTATAAAAGTCTATGCATAGAATATATCCTTGATTCAACGGTTACCTGAGCAACTAAGGTGATCTCATCTGGAGGATATATACAATAATGGGAATGTTAAATCTATGATACATGGGAAATTTGATCATGTCTAGAGAAGGAAACCTGTTATTCACGAAAAATCACAATATAAATCGTCTGTTAGACGATGACAGGGAATAACAAGGCTATGGAGGAAAAATAAAAAAATTGAAGCTTTCTTTGGGGAATCAGAGAATAAATATAGACAATTATGGTGTCTAAAAATCTCCTGAAGTGGATGAGAACAGAAAGAAAGGAAGGAAGGAACTCAACGGTGTAAACAATGACTAATTCACACTATCTACTGAAAAAAATAAAAAAACCAATCCAAATCGCAGCCTCAGAGGTTAACTTCAAAGCATGTCGGGTGGTGATCCCTCTTAGTCGTCAGCAAAGTAACTTCGTGAAAGTTTTAATTCTTAAGCTTATCCAGGTTCTCAAAACTGCTAAAAGAGTCTGTCCAGCCGTTGGGTTCCAGTTCTCATCATGGTACAAAATTCTTCGTAATTGATTCTTCCATCCTGGAAATTTGATAGGACTAGATTAGACAAGTATTTGAAGGAAGATTTTGATCTTCAATCTAATATAAACAAACTCACATTATCAGAGTCCACTTCAGATATTATTTCCTTTATGGTGGCTGGGTCGCCCATTCCATACTCCTTCATGGCTGTTTCTAGTTCATCTCTTGTGATAAACCTATAGTAACGTAAAATGAACTTATTCGGTAATACAATATACAGAGAGTTATAAGCTTTAAAGGCTTGCTCGGAGCACTTACCCGCTGTTGTCTTTATCAAAGTACTGAAACGCTTTGTAAAGATTTTCCTCTCTTTCTAATCTGTGTCTGTGCATTGTAGCAGTAATGAACTCAATGTAGTCAATTGTCCCATTTCCATCCACATCGGCCTGTTAGTGCATGATCGATAAGTTTCTCTTAAACCAGTATAAGTTAGGGAAACAGAAATATTATAGGAAAATTATCTGAGAATAAATGGGTATTATCTTACAGCTTCCATAAGCTGCTTGACTTCAGTCTCTGTGAGCTTTGAACCAAGTCGAGCCAATCCAGTTTTAAGTTCTTCATAGGTGATTGTTCCACTGTTGTCAGTGTCCATATTTGTGAACATTGCTTTCAGCCCCTGAATCTCTTCTGTAGATAAATTCTCCGCAATAACCTGGGATAGATCATCGAATAAAATTTATGACAAGACAGGAACAAATAACATTAGCGAATGAAACCTAATCAGAATCTATAATAAACAATTCTTGGTATCTGTATAACTGTAAGAGGGGAACTCATAATTCTTTATCGACTTCTTTGAAATAGACAAAATAAATCTAGAACGAATAGGTTCCAAACAATACCTTCAGCGCGAGTTTTTTGAGCTTGTTCATTGCTCTGAATTGCTTCATCCTAGAGAGAACTGCACTGTCTATAGGCTTATCTGATGCATCTCCACCTTCTCTCATCCATGGATGATCTATACGAGACAAAAATATTTAAAAACTTCGTTAAAAAGAATATAGGCTTTACTGCAGAAATTTGTAGATTCCAGAACAGTGAATGCAAAAGAAACAAAGCTATGTAGATCATTTTTAACAAAAAAGTTAAAGCAAATTTAACATTTAACTATCATAATATCCTAGGATGTCTTTGCTATGGAGCAAAATGAGGAAACTAAATCTCTAAGAAGACAACAAGAAAATGAATAATTGTCCGACTGTCTGATCAAATTAAGAGGAAAGAGCATGTTTTGTGGAGGAAAGAAACATTATAGCTCCTTGGAAAAGGCACCTTTGGATTATGTAAAATTAGTATGAGAAGAACAATCTTCTAAATTACAGTTATATTGTGGAATTTATAAATCAGAAAATGAAATAATGAGAGAAGCATGATCTTCGAACAATATTTCAGATGTTGGACTTTGTAGTTGGCTTCGTCACGATATCAAAAAACATAATTACATGCTTTCTTAATGCTTGATATAGAGCAGTATGATAGAAGAAATAGAAATGCATTCAGAAAAAAATATACTCTCAAGTTGATGGCTACTCATGCAATAGTAGGCGTACCAAGAACTTCAGCAGCAGTAATGCGTTCCTTTGGATCCTGTGTCAGCATCCTGCAGACCAGATCCTTTGCACTATTAGATATCGATGGCCAAGGTTTGCTATCAAAATCAATGTGGCCCCTCGCTATGGCATCAAATATTCCCTTATCAGTTTCTGCAATCAAAATTTTCTATAAATCACGAATTTTTTAGCCCTGATAAATCCATAAGAAGATGAAATATTAGACCACGAGAAACTGTTCTAATTTTCATTTTATTTTAGTTTTGGTAAGTAAATAACAATGTTTCCAAGATATATTGAGTTTACCTGCCCAAAAAGGGGGTACACCACTGAGTAATATGTATAACATAACTCCTGCACTCCAAATGTCAGCTTCCTTCCCATACCTGTGACGTAATACTTCAGGAGCTACATAATAAGCACTCCCAACCAAATCCTTATATACCTTCCCTGCAGAGTGAAGCCATTAAAAGAAAATTAAGATAAATACAAGTTCATGTGAAACTGTAAATGCTAGTGATTACTCATGCAACAAAAGTTCAAAGAACCGATTAAATACACTAATAGAGAAGCTTTTAGACTATTAAAATGGAGGAACGATCGTATGGAAACATAAGTTGCAGTCTTCACATCAGTCTACCCTTTTTTTTTTCCAAAACTTTAGGGATGAAATTTTGCAGCAGAACTTAGGATATTTCTTCATATTCATTGAAAAGGGCCCTAAGATGGCAATCAGATAAGCAGCGGACAGACAAGGGAACCTTAAAGATGCTAGAAGATTGTAGATATTTGATTCTACGAAATAAATTATAAACAAAATTTTGGATTCTGTCTTTCAAACATCTTAACGGCTATAAGAGTAGAACTTGAACCCTCTGAAAAATGACTAATTGATGCCACACAGGATAACAACCAGCTACGCAGATTCAGTAAAATTAAAACCATCGAAGAACATATTTGGAACACAGTTTCTGAACCACGCTGCACAAGACAATTTCTTCTTTTAGTCCTGCCCACCGTTGTCTAATGCATCATACTTCATGGTTCAATAATTCTTAAAATCCATAGCATACAATTAAGAGACAAATTATCAAGCTACATAGATATCCATAGCATTTGTGTCAATGATTCTAGAGTATATTACATTGCAGGCATTCTATAAATGCAATCATTAAAAGTAATCAATAGATGACTACAGTGGACGAAAAAGGAGAAAGATTTACCTTCTTCAATGAAAACTGATAATCCGAAATCGGTTGCTTTGAGCAGAGCCTTTTCACTCTTATCTGACAACAAGAAATTCTCCGGCTTAAGGTCCCGGTGCATCACGCCCATGAAATGGCAAATCTGTACAACTTTCACAATAGACCTACAGATTGAAGCAGCTGCTCTTTCACTATAATGTCCCTTAGCAATGATACGATCGAAAAGCTCTCCACCAGCACACAATTCCATCACAAGATGCACTGACTGTTTGTCCTCATAAGCACCCTTGAATTCAACAATATTTGATTGCCCACTCAAATGCTGCATGATCTGAACCTCTCTTCTTATATCCTCTTTATCACTCTTGTTAACAAGCTTCCTTTTAGAAATTGATTTGCAAGCATATTGTTGACCAGTTGCAATATCAGTACAAAGATGAGTAACACCAAATTGTCCCCTACCTAGTTCTTTTCCAAGGCTGTAATGGGAGTTGATATCTTCATACGGCTTTCCTAAAATGGTGTTTGCTTTTTGAACAACTCGTTTAGGGCTTGCGGGTGGAATTACGGGTAATTGAGCGGCATAGCCTGGGGACATTGTGTATTGAATTGGAGTCTGATTATGATGCACTCCATTCCCAGCTCTATGCCCATTAGCGTTCGACTTCACAGGTTTCTCTTTGCTTACACAAATCCCCATTTTCTCTCTTCCAATCCGTCGATTTCGATCCTTACAATACCCAAAAAAAAAAGACCTAACAACCAAAATCCATATAAAAAATTGACACAAATTCTGAAGAAATGGATCAGATCAGCGTCTATTTAATTGGGTTCTAATTGATTATTCAGGTATAAAAAGTAGATTTCTTTTTGTAGAAGACACAGAAAAAGTCTAAAATTGAAGAGGCAATAAGGAAATTGGACTTGAAGTTGATAAAGCTAATGAATGACTAGAATTAAATTCAAGACTTCACCAAATTGAAAAAGGATTATGAAAAAGACGAAGAATATGAATATAATTATGGAGGCAACGTTAACAAGAAGGTGGCCTGTCAAGCTGCAACCTTTATTTCTTATTCATTTATGAATTCATTAGTGGGTACATTTTAGTAATTATACTTTCATTATAATGTCAATCAAATAACTATATTTCTATTTTATTTAATCGATTTCAATAAGATAACTCCATTGTAATTTAATTTCAATCAGATACCCACAATTTAATTTATTTTCAATTAAGATAACCTTGTTTAATTCAATAATCAACAGAACAAACGGTGGTTACGACAGACAACCTTCAATCGATGTCATGAAATAAATTATAACCATCTTTTATTAAATATTTTGTCATCAATTTTTGTCCGTTACTTAAAATTGGATGGAATAATCTGATTAAAATCAATTTAAAAGTGAAGTTATGCAAAAGAATAAAATTGAAGTACAATTGCCTATAGATGAAAGTAGAGTTGGATACATTTTTTTGACTATTTACTTGATAAATACACTTCAGGGTAGTTGAAAAAATAAAAATTTTGTTTTTATGTAGGAAAGGGCAGTTGGAATATAGAGACAAGGACGTGTTCCATTTGGGGCGATTGCAACAAGAAAATAGTGGTTTTGTTTTATGGGGAATGAAAAAGTTAGTACTAAAAACGGGTGTTATCTATAACGCGGTTTTAATTATAAAAGAGACGTTTTATTCACAAGTACTACGTGCAAACAATAACATTCCCACTACAATTTTGTAATTCTGAGATTTTATTTATTAATTGTTTTGATTGGAATTAGTCAACTCAAGATATTTGTAGAGTCATTGATGCCAATTATCAGGCATTATAGGTGTTTAGCGGGTTAGTGACTTAACTAGAAATTAGAAGGCATTTTCTGGTATTTTGCATCTCTATTTATTTAGAGAAGAAAAAAAAAGACTTTTGAAGGTTTGAGTCTCTCGAGAACCGTTAAAGTCAGGAGTCCCTCAATCGAGCCAAAAATAATTATTTCTTTAGTTATTTCCGTTGCAGAAGCTCTCTTGAAAAATCTTCAAATCAGTAATTTTCGGGCTCAATTTAACGTACATTTCTCAACCAACAACCAGTCAAATCGGCTCTAAACCACAACCAATTGATTCATTTTGGTTGCTATTCAGTCTTACCCACGTAGGACAAGAAATGATGATAATTTATGGCCACAAAGGCTAAGAGAAGACATCACAAAGGTATACTATGAAAGAACCACCAATTGCACACGTTATACAAGCGTTCTGGACACTTCTTGAGACCTTTTTCTCACACAAAGGGGGGCAGCCGGGATTCACTTTTTCTTCTCTCAAAATCACACAATCATCATTAAAAAAGTGGCTAGGGCTATAGCCAAATATATACTCTAGGGTTAGGCTTTAAGTTAGGTCATTAAAAGGGTAAACAGGCCAAGATTCAAGCTATCCATAAGGAAATACAATTGACCCGGGTGTAGCTCATGAACTTGGTTGTTGGACTTATTTCATTCATCGACCTATACCTGTGAAATAATATTAACCCACGTTAACATCATAGCTCGGGATTTATTGGGTATTAAAAACCTAACAAATCTCCACCTTGATGCCCAATAAAATCTGCAAGCAATCAAAATACACAGTTAACACTTGCATAATCAAGGTAGCCAATAAAATTGGATCACAAACCTTACATTGTGTTTCCAACTCGAAACACATACCATACCTGCTCCATGTACTCACTGGGGCTAAGGTCAAAACACCCAAGTAGAAGCAAATATTTAACAGTAAACAAGCAAGAGCAAATACACGTGCGATGACGATATACTATAGGATAACACATATAGATCTTTTCAAAAAACACGTTCACATAGAACCATAGATTAACACCAAGTCAATCAAACCACGGTCAACCACATATGCAACACATGCATAAATGACCCTAAGAAAAGATCGCACCACACTTATCATATCCCATTCTATGTTGCTCACACCTCGAGAACACATATCTCCTCTCATCGCCCACCAAGCTCATTAGACAGATCACTCAACTCATGTCTAACTGGCAAGTCACAATAGATCCTAAGTCCACGGCATAATCCTCTATCTCCACATCACTTCTCCCAACCTACTTGGATAATGGGTCTTCACCTAACATAAGTGATAGAAGTGTCTCTCTCACACTCCACCTGATCAGGGTCTCTTTCCAGATAAAGGATTCTAGACATTTGATCACATCTCCACTCGTGATCCAAATGTCACACTCCACATCCCCGGTACAAGCCACCATGTACCCCTAGGCATCTATACTCCACCTTACAAAAAAACATACAACACACTGCTAATACAACCTAACCCACTATGCATGTAAACAATTACACCAAATAATCCTAATATCTCAAATTCATGTAAATGCACATATCAAACACATTGAGATGTAGCAGATAATCACGCAACAAAATTTAGACAATCACACACATACAGAAAAGGATCACACACAGATGTATATGTAGTGACTAGGTTTACACTTAATAAACCTAACTAGGGTCATAACTTGACCCCTCAACCAAATTCGTCTCACCTCTCATCTTATCCTTCAACTTGTCTTTTTTCTTGGGACAGTCCCTAATAAAGTGTCCAGACTTACCACAAATGTAACACCTTCTACCACTAGACTTGTCTCGTCCCTTGCCCTTCTTCTTACTACCCTCATCACTCGAGTCACTACTCGAATCACTATTGTCTTGAGTTCTACCCAAATTCATTTGCTTAAACTCTATCCTACTCCTCATCATATGTAACTCACCACTCCTCTTATCCTCTTTTTCAATCTTAATCTCCATCTCCTTACTTCTAAATGAGTCTATGATAATCTCGAGTGTTGAGGTATCCCTACCGTACTTAATTGCATTCTTAACCTCTCTATATGACTCAGGCATGGAATTAAGTAAAATAATAGCTTTATATGTTTTAGACACATTTTCATCACAATTAATGATGTCTTGAACTAATTTGTTAAAGACATCCAGATTGTCCTCAAGATCCTTTGAAGGATCCATTTTAAAATTGAAAAATCTTTCAAACAAGTACAATTTATTAGTAGTGGACTTAAACAAATATAAGTCCTCCAACTTTTCCCAAAGTTGTTTGGTAGAATCCAGTTTTTCAACTTTTCTCAAAACAGTATCAGACAAGTGTAAAATAATTGAAATGTATGCAAATTCATCATACTCTTCTTTTTATGCTTCTGTTAAATTTGCAGGAAATTTGCCATCTATGGCTTTTAAAATTTTTTGTTGAACCAAAATATCCTTCATCTTTTGTTGCCAAATTGAAAAATCCCCTTTTCCATTAAAAATTCCAACTTCAAAGTGTGAAGACATTTTTAAAAACTAGAATAACCAAAAGCACAGATAGGTTACACAAAGTTATCCTATGGCCGCAATATACACTGTTCTAGATTCCCAGGATTTCGTAAGATTCACGATCTTAGATCAAGGGAATGTTCGAACAGGTCAAGTCCAGGTGTTCTAACAGGAAAATCAATGCAACACGAAGGTATGTAAACAAAAGTTCAAAATTCCACGCAACAAGTCTCACATAGTGACTATATGATAGGTAAAGCACAAAATCAACTACCAATTTGCAATCAAAACTCAACACTTCAAAAAATAGAGCAAATAATTCCTAAATTTTCTAACACAAGCAATGGTTACCAAGCAATGACAAGCCCCAATCCTATTGATCACTCCACACAATGATCTACTAGTGCTGAAATTAAAACTGAGATAATTCAATATACCAGAGCGGGCCAATCTGAGTCCGTAAATTATAAGACACACGAATTTAACACTTTAGGACCACCACTATTCATCCTAAAGTCTCTGGAAACTGCAGCAATCAAGAAATCACGATCGAGTCCCAAACGCTCGAAGAACAACGCTATCCAAATTCTTCTGCGTACCCTGAAACAGAAAACTTTCAACACGAAAAATGTCAGAAATAATATGAGTAACAAACTGCCTAAAGGGACCGTCGCCAGAAAACCCTCCACATGCCCGCACGCGCCGATCGATTCTCCGCGCGTGGCCTCCACGCGCCGCCGCCACCCGCCTCCTCCATCCACACGCGCTTAACCACCTTGATCGCCACCACCTGCACGTTACACCAGTGGTCTCTATTTTCCCAAACTCCTTCTGGATTGGTCAGAAAATACCAAACCAGGGGCTGATTTTTAACAGTTTTCTGGACAGTTTTTCGATTTGATTTCTGCTACATTTCTGCCGATTTTCTGGACGATTTTCTGGTAGATTTCATGAGCCAAAACCTTTACCTTGAAGCTCTGATACCAATTGTTGCGAAAGCTCTCTTGAAAGATCTTCAAATCGGTGATTTTCGGGCTCAGTCCAACGCACATTTCTCAACCAACAACCAGTCCAATCGGCTCCAAACCATAACCAATTGATTCACCTTAGTTGCTATTCAATCTTACCCACGTAGGACAAGAAATGATGATGATTTATGGCCACAAAGGCTAAAAGAAGACACCACAAAGGTATACTATGAAAGAACCACCAATTGCACACGTTATACAAGCGTTCTGGACACTTCTTGAGACCTTTTTTCTCACACAAAGGGGGCAGTCGGGATTCATTTTTTCTTCTCTCAAAATCACACAATCATCATTAAGAAAGTGGCTAGGGTTATAGCCAAATATATACTTTAGGGTTAGGCTTTAAGTTGGGCCATTAAAGGGATAAACGGGCCAAGATTCAAGCTATCCATAAGGAAATACAATTGGGTCAGGTGTAGCTCATGGACTTGTTGTTAGACTTATTTCATTCATCGACCTATACCTATGAAATAATATTAACCCACGTTAACATCATAGCTCGAGATTTATTGGGTGTAAAAAATCCAACAATTTCGATATCAACAATGTGTATATTTGTAGAACTTTTTTATTTTATGTCAACGTGATATTAGACTTGTTCAAGATGATTGAAGCATAGGCTTAATGGCCTCTCTCGAAAGTTAGAAATTCAAATCTATTTGAATCTCTGACCGTGCAATGGACA